TGGGTTTCAAAAAGCTACTTTTCTTGGACATTTACGAAGAAACTGCGTGACGATAAAAACAATTAAACCAAAAGATTTATTGCCCTTTACGAATTCCGAGTACAAATAAATATTCAGTTCTAGGTAGATAAACAACTTGTGTTTTTGTAACAAATTAGTGAATCGATTGATACGAGCAAAAAACACTTCTGACCAGTTGTTGCCGCAAAAATAATAACCTTTTATATTAAGAAGATGAGAATTGGTGGTTAAATAATATCGAAGTGTGTATGGATACCAGAAGAAACAACGAGACAAAAAACTCGTTTTATTTGAGCTGAGGTATATCGAAAATAATATAAATAGAATAGAATAGATTTTCGGGTTTTAATAATAATTGTAACAAAATAATAAGCAATTATTGATGATATGTTAAGACTTTAACAATTACTATTTAATATTTCTAGAGAAACTATGGTTACGTGTTTGTATGTATTTGACAACAATATTCCTTAATTAAACAAGCTGTTCCAGATTCATAGGCAGAAACGATTAACTTTTGTAATTAAGGGATACTGGACAGAAAAATAATTAAAAATTCTTCTTTAAAATACATTGTCCTTACTTATTAATTTGTAGACCTAGTGTAAAATATGCTAAAATCTATTGTTCATTTGTACCTACTATCAAACCCACAAGACCATTACAAGACAATTGGTGAAACATGGGAACGCAACAAAAGCCAATAAAAGAGTTTTGCTTATATACAGCTAAATATATAAATAAATATAAATATATATAAATATAAATAATAAATATAAATGTATATATATATATATATATATATATATATATATATATATATATATATATATATATATATATATATATATATATATATATATATATATATATATACAGGGTGAATCATGAGGAACTTTACATACTTCTACCATATGTAGAGTCCCTCAAGGAGCATATCATGTGGCTACTAAAAAATGTCAACTCCTCTTCTTTATTAATTAACAAGGTGATTTTTGTAATTGACCATTTATTTCATTTTACTGTAGTGTTTATACGGCTCATTTGATTTTTTAATTTTTGCATGATACAGTACATTACTATCAAGCATTCGACTGGTATTAGCTAAACTAAAAAATTCCAGGACTGGCTTTGGAAAAATTAATTTAGGGATTCGTATTAAGTATTAAACCCTGTATATATATATATTTTTTAAATGCAATAAGTGATTTTCAAACTACATAAATAGCCAATGAAAACGACATATGCGACAATGTTGTCGCACTTTTATTAAATTTTTAGTGAACGATCAAATCTTACCAAAAATAGAACAACCATAATGAAGTATCAAATTATAAGGTAATTAATTTAAACAAATGTTATAAATTCCAAACATTTTAATTGGAATGATAAACTGAGTCACTGCACAAAAAAAAAACAGTAACTACTAACAATAACGAAGAACAATTTAAAAAAAAAAAACTAAAAATATGTACATAGTTATGATAAACCCATAAATTAGAACTGGAAAAGATACAATAATGGTAACAAAATAAAAATAATTCAAAATAGATATTCGAAATGAAACCCTGCAGCCTGTACACATTTTTGTTGCCGATTTGTTAATTGACGTATTGAATTACGGATACTCTGGGGATCGTTTGTAATAGTATTACAACAATGTATAATTCTATCAATTAATTGTTGTCGGTTATTAATATTCACTGCGTAAACTAGTTGCTTCAATCGTCCCTAAATATGGTAATCAACGGGATTGAAATCAGGGGATCTTGAAAGCCACGAAATAGGACCTGCACGTCCTATCCACCTGTTGCCATAAACATTATTGAGATGTTGTCTCACTGCCAGTAAAAAGTGTGGAGGTGCCCCATCATGCTGAAAATACATCCCTCGGATAGCAACGTTCGCGTTGGCAAGCAAATTCGGCAAAATATTTTGTAGAAAGTTCAAATAGACCTGCCCTGTTAAAGAACCATAAAAAAATGAGGACCTACTAATTTGTTATTTATTACACCAATCCACACGTTAACCGAAAACCTTAACTGAGAACGACGTTCTCGAATAGCATGGGGATTTTTTTCTGCCCACACATGTGAATTTCGTGAATTCTTTATCCCGTCTCTGATAAATTGGGCTTCATCTGTAGATAGTGTCCTGTATAGCGTTGGTCGATTATTGTTAATCCATCTACAAAATTCCAACCTATCGATCTCATCTCCAGCATGTAGTCGCTGAACCATTTGAATGTGTTATGGGTATAGATTATTTTTTTGTAAGACTCTACTTACTTTTGATTGAATAACAAAAGGCAGCAAATATTTGATTTCACGCAAACAAATCCTATGTATCTCTTGATACGTATTTCGACCTAATAGGTCTCGTCAGAAGAGCTATTCATAGGGGTTCTCAACGTGAAAAATCAATATTTTCTGCCTTTTAAGAAGCACCAATAACATGGCTTCAATACGGACGCAGTAGCGACATCTAATTACAACAATCGTAAAATAGTTTCGAAACACAATTCAGATTTCTGCTTTATACTCTGAGCCTTCTAAAAATTGCAAGGCAAACAGACGTTGATAAAAGATGTTAAATTAAGTTAAGTTAACATTAAGTTCTCGACTTACTTGTCTAGTGCTTATTATAGGGTTCATAGTAACGGCGTCCATAATGTCATCTTCCTGTGCTTCATCTTCATGTCGCTCTATTGTTCCACTAGGAAAAGTTCCATTTTCTTGCAAATAATTAAAAACTAACTTAAATGTTGGATGACTGGGAGTTCGACGATCAGAAAATCTCCTGCGATATTCTCTACTAGCAGCCCTACTATTCCGATTACAGAATCCATAAACAAATATTATGTCTGCATATTCTGTGGTCGAAAACTGATGTGGCATTTTGAACAAAAGTAACAAAAGCTCTACCAAAACTAACACAATGTACTTAACGTAGATATGACAGAAGAAATATGTATTCTTGTACACATAAATAACAATTGATATTGATAATGACAATAATGACAGTGGGTATAAAATATCAAGAAACGTCAAACGGTCAACGCCAACCTTCATTTTAAACTTTTTTAGATTTATTTTTATTTAGTACAGTTGATGCAATGTATTATTATTTGACATAAAATTTTAATCATTTAAAATCAACAAAAACTAACACATACAAGAGGTTTGACTTTTTAATCAATTTAATTTATTATTTATCGAAAATAATGCCCCAATACGATCTATGAGTAAAAATTTAAAATTGAAAAACAATTGATTCTATCGTAGAGATAATACAAAGTGACAGTAAAGATGTTAATTTTCTACATATTAGATTATGTTGTAGGAACTCATTTTAATTAAAATGTTTCAAATTTATAACATTTGTTTAAATTAATACCTTATAATTTGATACTTCATTATGGTTGTTCTATTTTTGGTAAGATTTGATCGTTCACTAAAAATTTAATAAAAGTGCCACAACATTGTCGCATATGTCGTTTTCATTGGCTATTTATGTAGTTTAAAAATCACTTATTGCATTTAAAAAAATATATATATACAGGGTGTAATATTTAATACGAATCCCTAAATTAATTTTTCCAAAGCCAGTCCTGGAATTTTTTAGTTTAGCTAATACCAGCCAAATGCTTGATAGTAGTGTACTGTATCATGCAAAAATTAAAAAAATCAAATGAGCCATATAAACACTACAGAAAAATGAAATAAATGGTCAATTACACAAATCACCCTGTTAATTAATAAAGAAGAGGAGTTGACATTTTTTAGTGGCCACAGGATATACTCCCTGAGGGACTCTACATATGGTAGAGGTATGTAAAGTTCCTCATGACTCACCCTGTATATATATCGAAATAGCAAATCTTCTAACAAACAAATCAGTACAACTTGCCGTTTGTACAAATATGGTATATAAAAATCACGAATTTTATCAATTGTTTTATCTTAAACTTTGCTAGACTTTAGGACTTCAATGGCCTAGTCATGTGGTGAAGAAGGATGCTGGCAGACTGCCAAGAAGAGGCCTAGATAATAAAATTGAAGGCCGAAGACCAAAAGGAACCACGGAAATTCCAAATCGTTCAATCGTTCCAAATAGGGAGGCGAGGATTATTGAATTGGCCAGCACGATCTTCTGATCTGACCCCATGAGACTTCTTTGTATATATAAATATTGTATACAAAATTAATCTACACGGCTTAGCTGACTTAAGAAAATGAATAACGCCTGAAATTAGGTCGGCCACGCCTAAGGTGCTGTATAACGGTAGAAGAAATTTTTATTTAAGATTAGGATGTTACCAAGACGTCTGCGGCGAGCATTTTGAACATCTACTATTCACACTAGGGTCTTTTACGTTATAAAAAAGTAAACAGTAAGACTTATTAGTTTTTCAGTGTGTTAGAAAAGGTACCCCGCTTGGATGGGCTAAATGCTCTCTATCAATTTTTTTTACTTTCTTTTTTATTTTATTTTTGTAATTAAAAAATTAAAAAAGGACCTATATAAACGAATATATCTAAAAACATTTTAGAACCTTTTAAAGCTTTTACATTCCTATGTGAACAGCAGTTATTATTACAGCTTTTAAAGAGAAACAGTGGGCATAACTCCTCTAGAGTAAAAGTTGCACCACGGGTTACATCAAGTAGAAACTATGTACATATAACTTTACACCAATGGTTTTTACTTGCCATTATATAAATTGGATTCAGAATATACATAAATTTAATATTTTGATATAACGTAGGACTTTATTTGTTAGTAACTAAATCATTTGAACTTGTAATTACTACATGATCCTTTCAAAGGAGTGTTTATTATCATGAATTTTCCTATTGGGACCCATGTCTTTGAGTGTAAAACATACTTTATGATTAGCTTTAGGAAACTTTAAAGGACTACTGTAAACGATTTTAAAAGCATCACTTATTACCCATTTAATAGGTAGCGTCACTTACCTGTGGGGTTCTGAACTTTCAAACATGATTCGATAGTTGTCAATGTTGGATTCAAAAGTTTCAACAAACTCTTGGAAGGTCGGCAAAGCGTCTAATGCTAATATTTCATTCCAGGCTCTACTCGATAACCAACTTGAAGCAGGGTTGGGGATCATCTGTAAAACAAAAGGACAATAATTGACATTTTCATTTATTAAAATATCAGAAGACTATAAAATAGACTACGGTAGTCACTAGAAAGTAAACATAATTAAATAGAGTTTGATTCTGTTTACTTTCTAGTGGAAATTTAAAGTTGTTTATTTATCACTTTTTCATCTGAGATTATATCCATTACCATCAATATCAAACATCTTTTATTGCCCACTGCTCAAACTGCCCTGCCTTCGTTGTATCCAGTGGTTGTGATCTTCTTCTTTTTTTTTCTTTCTTCTCTTTTTGATTCTTTCTCTTGTATAAGTAATTCTGCTTGTTCAATGGCAGATTAATATCTCGATGAAAGATTGTCACACTTCAGGAAGAATATATAACAACAAGCTTTGAAGAATATATAAAGAGGCGAGGAAAAAACAAACAATCCCTAAAGACTGGCAGAACAATATTATCGTGCCAATATACAAAAAAGGAGAACATGTAAACTGCGACAACTACAGAGCAATATGTCTGTCATCGGTATACTTTAAAATATATACCAAAATAATAGAGAACAGACTGAGACAAGAAGTGGAAATGGTAGGTATTAGGAGAAGAACAAACGGCATTTAGACCGGGAAGATAGACAAATGACAACATATATATCATAAGAAACCTAATAGAAAGAAGCATAGATACGGGGAAAAACTAGTATTACCATTCATAGACCTAAGAGCAACATTTGACACGATATAAAGACATATTATAAGGAAATACTTGAAGAAAATAAATGTACCTAATGCATTGATTAAAAATTATAGAAAGTACTTACAAAGAGGTAAAAGGAAGGATACAAATAACAGGGGAAAGATCGAAAGCATTTAATTGGAAGAGAGGTATTAAACAAGGAGATAGTCTCAGCTCTTTGCTATTCATAATAGTAATGAACGAATTGATAAGAAACACTAGAGTCAGAACCAATCAACTACAGACAAGTAGGTTACCACAGATTACAACCGGTAACAATAGAGTCCTTAATGCATGCAGACGACATAGTACTAATATAAGATTCCGAGAATAAAATGCAGAAACTAATGGATATATGGGTTGAGCAAATAGAAGAACTAAAAATGGAGATAAACAAGGAAAAAAGTAAGATAATGATAGTCAGCGGCAAAGGAGATAAGGAAGATAATAAAATAAAGATAAAATGTAATTTCAGAATTGGAAATAGTAACAACTTACGAATACCTGGGAAGTATAATAACTAATGACGGAAAAATAGACTGGGAAATAACAAATAGAGCAAAAAAATCAAACAAGTTATACTATGCGTTAGCCCCAATAATGGAAAAAAGAGAACTTACACGAGAAACAAGAAAAAATATATAACACAATAGTGATAACGACTGTGCTCTATGCAAGTGAAAACTAGACAATTATGAAAAAACATAAGAGCAGGATAAACGCAATGGAGATGAGACATCTAAGAAGGATAGTTGGAAAGACAAAATTGGATAGATAAAGCAACGAGACTATTAGGTGAATGACCAACCAGGAACCGATAATGAACAAAATAGCAAAGAGACAAATGAACTGGTATGGGCATCTGATGATAATACAATCCAATAGAATAACAAGAAAAGTTTCATCATCAGTGGTGTTACAGCTCTTTATGAGCCAAAGCCTTCTTCAGAACAATACTCCATTCGCCCCTGTCTCTGGCAACTCTTCTCCATGCTCTTATTCCGATAGACTTTAAACCATTTTCTAGGTTATCTTGGTACCTAAGTCTCGGTCTTCCTCTTCTTCGTTATCCGATCGGCCCTCTTCGGTCAAAATCTTTTCTGACTATGGCATCTTCCTCTCGTCTGATTACATGACCTATCCATCTGAGGCGTGCTACCTTAATGAATTTTACAACGTCAGGTTCTCCAAAACTTCTATACAACTCAAAATTGTAACACCTGCGCCACAAACCTTGTTCTTTTATGCCTCAATATATTCGTCTTAGTATTTTTCGCTCCAAACGTTTAAGCAATTCTTGGTCATTCTCTGTTTGTGTTCAAGTTTCTGAACCATATGTTAGCACTGGTCTTATTAGTGTTTTGTATACAGTCAGTTTAATTTTTCTAGGTATTTTTGAGGCCATCTGTCTTCTTAAGCCATAGTAACACTTATTGGCGAGCACTATTCCTCTTTTGATTTCTTCACTGACGTTGTTATCTTTAGTTAGCAGCGACCCTAGGTATTATAAGGTGTCGACACCTTCCAGTTCTAGGTCATCAATTATTATTCGTGTAGGTGTTGGGTTGCTTGACCTAGTGCAACACATATATTTGGTCTTTTGAATATTTATATTTAGTCCCATTCTGTGTGCAGATGCTGTTAATGACCGAAATGCTTCAGTCAGAGATTCTGTGGACCTACCTATGATGTCTATGTCATCTGCGTATCCGACAATTTGTACTGATTTGTTAAAAATAGTACCATTCGTAGTAATCTGCGACTCTCGAATTATTTTTTCTAATGCCAGGTTAAATAAGAGACACAATAGTCCATCACCCTATCTTAGTCCATTTTTGAAATGGAAGGGTCTTGAGAGATCGTTTTGGATTTTTACCATGCTCTCTGCACCTGTGAGTGTAAGATCAGTTAACTGGACAAGATCAAACGGAATGCGAAATTCTACCATAGCAAGTAGACGTTTATTTCTATTAACAGAGTCGTATGCGGCTTTGAAGTCAACAAATATGTGGTGGGTGTCGACGCCGAACTCTAGGGTTTTTTCAAGGATCTGCCTCACTGTAAATATCTGGTCCGTTGTTGATTTATTAGGACGGAAACCGCACTGATATCTACACTATTTGTTCGGCGTAGGGGAGGAGTCGTTTGTACAATACGTTGGATAACACTTTATATGCCATATTGAGTAGAGTAATGCCTCTATAATTATCAAACACCATCATGTCTCCCTTTTTGAAAAGAAGAAATGGATCGAAGAATTACTGCAGGAACTCGAAGCCAATAGTAATGACAAAGCAAGACTATACAAATACATAAAATCACAGAGAAAAAAAGAGATACCAGCAAATATTGGAAAAATTGAATGAGAAACATACTATAGAGAACTGTTTAAAAAGAAAGACGATGCTGAAAACGCAGAAAATGAAGAACAAACAGAAAATAGGAATGGAGAACAATCAGAACCTCCCTCATACAGCGAAGTATTGGCGACTATAAACAGATTAAAGACTAGGAAAGCAGCAGGACCAGACGACATTATAAATGAGTTCTTCAAGAAAGGGGGAGAGGAACTGGCCCACAGAATCCACAACCTAATAGAACGAATATGGGAAGAAGAACGCATGCCGAACGACTGGAATTGTGGTCTGATAACACCAATCCCTAAAAAAGGCGACAAGAAGAAATGCACTGATTTAATAACGTGACTCCCCTACAGGGGAATCACGTTATTAAATACAATGTACAAAACATTAACTAACTTGATCAGATAAAGAATAGAAAAAGAAACTAGAACAAAAATAGGTGAATACCAACATGGATTCAGAGAAGGTAAGTCAACAATAGATGCAATACACATTGTAACGCAAATCGTCGAAAAAAGTTACGAGCACGGACTAGATCTACATATACTGTTTATTGAGTACAAGCAAGCTTTTGACAGTGTAATAAGAGAGGAGCTAATTAAGGATATAAATAAATTAGGCATCCAAGAAAAACTAATAAGTCTCACGAAAATGACGATGAAGGAATCCAAGGCACGAATCTTAACAAGAGAAGGCCCGTCACGTATGCCGATGATATTGCACTGGTTACTAGAGATTTAAAAACCATACAGAACATAATATTAATACTAGATAAAGAAGCAAAGAAGAGAGCGCTAGTAATAAACCAAAGCAAAACGAAATACTTTTTAAGTGTTCAAGAGAGAATACGAACATAGAGAAAGAAATTAAGCTTGCTGCATATACATTTGAAAGAGTACACAGTTTCAAATACCTGGGAGTGATGGTGAATGACAGAAATGATAGAACGGATGAAATAAATAAACGCATCCTACTGGGTAATAAAACCTACTGGAACTACCAAAAATTCCTGAAAGAAAATCACATTAGTAAGAAAACCAAATTAAAAATTTACAAGACTGCAATCAGGCCAGTGATGACCTATAGTGCAGAGACGATGTGCCTAACACAAAAAGATAAAATGAGGTTGGAAATCTTAGTAAGAAAGATAATTCGACGAATAATGGGACCGGTGAGGATAAGTCTAGGCGAATTTAGAAGATTAACCAATGAAGAAATTAAAGAAGTCATCGAGGGTGAAGACATAATCAAGTTCGTGAAGACGCAAAGGCTCAGGTGGCTGGGGCACACAGAAAGAGCTAACCCAGACTCAACGCTAAAGCGAATAACTGGATAGAGACCAACAACAAAGAGACCAAAGGTAAGACCCAAAATATGATAGAGAGATCAAGTCTTAGAAGACATAAAGAAGCTGAGAATCTACAATTGGAAGAAGCGCTGTAAGGACCGGAAAAAATGGAGGAAAATTGTAGATAGGGCCAAGTCAGACACGCTGCTATAATAATAAAAAAAAAAAACAACAGCAGATTGATTCTCCGCAATAAATGAATCAGAGCCCAAAAGGGCGGCAAACACTCCGCCAGGAGTGAATAAGCCATGATGATGATGATATGTATATATTAAATGTCTATTAGTTCCATGGAAATGCTAATATGCTCCAAATTATAAAATTTTTCATGATTCCAAAATGTATTCTAAAAAGTACTATTGGTTTTTTTTACAATAACTCAAATCAAAATTAACCAAAAATGGTTAATTTTAATGCTACAACATGCATAAAAAATGATTTTACAGGTAGGTAATTTAACGGGCTATAAGTATAGGAATGTTAAAACATTCTAAAGTCCTTCATGTTTAAAGGGTGAAGGGTCAAATGGTCGGAGACCAGTGGTTCATGCGCTATAAAGCAAACTTCCACTTACTATATCTCCGTTATTTTTTAAAATACAAAAAAAATTAAAAAATGAAAATTTTTGTTGAAAAAAAAACTATTTTTTTGTATTATGTCATCTTTTACGTATCTTTTATAGTTTTGAAGTTATTATAAAAAAAATGATTTTTTTTTATTTACAAAAAAAATGTAATCATAATTTTTTCAAAAACTGGGTATTCTAAAGTGGCTAAACTTTTGGGTCATACAAAAAACACTAAAATAAAGTGAATTCTATAAGAAAAACAATTTATTGCAATCCTAGTGAACATGACGTTAGTTTTATTGCGTTTTTTTTTACAAAAATTGGAGAAACCCTTTGTTTTTTGATCGTATCTCACGTAGAGGTAGTGCAAAGGACTTTTACCAGCACTCATTTTAAGGGTCTTTTAAAACTCTTTTAAAAATATTATATGAGTTTTTGTCGAAAAATGTACCCGTTTTCCGTTATTTAACGTTAAATACTCGTATTGAAAGACAAAAACAAAAACAAACCTTCTTTGAACAGCCATAACTCAGTTAATATTAAACTGAAAATATTCATTAAAATATAAAACTTTTTGTTCTTTTATAAGCTTTAATTTTAGTTACACTTTTTTGATAAAACTCTTAGTGTCAGAGCTATCCTTAAAAAACCTTTGAAAAACATGTTATTTTTTAACGAAAAATGACACTTTTCGACAGCAAATAACTCAAAAAGTATTGATCTAGCGAAAAAAATCTTTACTACATTTTTTGTTTGAAATGTGAAAAAATTTTCACCCTCGAGAAGGGGTGGCAAACACCCCCAGGGTGGAAGCGCACATTGGCACTATATAAGTTTTCTTCCTTAAGTAATTATTTACCAACATACAAAATTTCAAATGAATCGATTCAGTTATAAAGAATTCGGAGGTAAAAACCCTCAGTAAATGGACTATTAGTTTTATGAAATAAATGAATTTAGTTTCAATTTAAGCTGGAGACCGCCATCCCGGTATTTCAACACGATTCGTTTTATGTAAAAACAGTTTTATGTTTTATCTAATGTTTCATGTAAAAGTAGTATTTACCTCTTTAGGAGTTCCTCCAGCCAGAAAATGTTGCCATTCCTGTGGATCGATTTTTTTCAAGTCCATTAAAATTCTGATACACAACAAAAATGCAAAATGCATCTTATGCTTTTCAAACAGACTTCTGCATACATTGCAATATAGATTGAATGTGAATGAGTCATTGATAGTTTGTACACGGTGAATAATGTTATCTGAAACAAAATGTAACTGATTAATAATAGTATATTACCATTGTTTAAATAGTGAGGCGGAGAAGCATGACTTTTCTTGTCGCGCCCGATATTACGCGCCGAACGAAGTGAGGCGCGTAATAGAGGGCAAGTCAAGAAAAGTCGCTTCTTTGCCGAATAAAGTATACTATTTTTTTCTTCAAACGTAGCAATTTTCAACCATAAATAGTACAATTCATACGCTATTTTTACTCGAAATTAACTGTGGCAACTATCAAAGTCGTCTAGATGTTAGAAATTAAAATAATTAAGTCGTCGGTGGGACTTGCGTCTCCCTGGTTACAGTTGTTTGACAGTTGTTTGCAATTATTAAAGACAGCTTATTGTTGTTGCAACCGCAAGCGCAAATTTAATGCGAAAATGGGAAACCTAGACGAAATTAAGTCCGCGGCTAATGATGCAGTAGCACGTTTGGGGCCCTCCAAGTGCGGAGTAAAGTATCGGCTAGCGTACAAGCACTTCCAAGAGTGGTGCGATACAAGAGGAGTACGGCAAGTCACCGAAGACATTTTACTGGCATATTTTAATACAATGGAAAATGAAAATAAATGGAAATCTTCTACAATGTGATCACGATACTCTATGATAAAATCCGAGTTAGTTATTAGAAAAAATGTGGATATAAGCAAATTGTTAAAGTTACGTGCCTGTGGATATACTGCAAAGAAGTCTAAAGTTTTCACTAAAGACGAGTTTGGTAAATTTTTGTTTGAAGCGCCAGATAAGTTGTATTTAGGATTAAAGGTAAAAAAAATTATATTGCAAAGCATGTAGTATACTCTACTAAATTATAAAAATATTTCAGATTGTTTTGTTAATTGGGGTTACCGGCGCCTGTCGATGCGACGAAATGGTAAAAATGAAGACTGTGGACATTGAGGATAAAGAAAATGTAATAATTATCAAAATCCCAGATAGTAAAACACGACAAATTAGATCTTTTACGATAATTGGTCAAAACTACATTAAACTATAAAAAAAGTATGTATCACTGCGGCCTGAAAATTTCACAGAAAACCGATTTTTTATCAAGTACCAAAATGGAAAGTGTTACCGAAGCGTCATGGGAATACATTCGATCAGCGCAGTAGCTCAAAAAGTAGCTAGTTATTTAAATTTAAACGATGCGAGCGCTTACACGGGTCACTCTTTACGACGAACTTCAGCAACACTTTAAATTGATGGAAGCGGAAATCTAGAATGCCTCAAACGACATGTGGGCTGGAAATCAAGCACGGTTGCCGAAGGATATATAGAGGATTCAATAAGAAATAAGAACGATAATGCTTAAAAAATTTTAAACCCTCATGATTCTCTAACATCGGGAATGATTGCTGAAAGTTGTTCTCGACCATTAGTATCATCAACAATTACCAATGCGTATCAAGAGTCGGGAACATTTTTACAAGGTTTCAATTTTAAAAATGCCTCATTAACTAATTGTACTTTTAATATTACTATAAATAAAAATGATTTTTAATTGTTGTTAATGACATTTGTATTGTTGCTTTGTGACATGTTTCATATTGTTGCCATGACAACATTTTCCCTTCGCCGTAAAGAAATGGGAAAAAAAACTGCTGCCGGGGAGACATCAAACTTTGACAGGATCAAGTTAGATAAGTAATGTCATCATTATTTGACGTTTGAAGAAAAAATAATATTATTTAGCCGTAACAAGAAAAACACATTCTTGGAGAAAATTACATATAGGGAGCATATCCTGATATGAAAGAACAAGGGAAAAAAACGAAGGTTAAGACTTAGGAGTAGAAAATTCTTTTTTGGATTTAATCATAAAAGTGTGAATGCTAAACGAAGAAGAAAAAAAAAGGAAAAAATTCTATTTACTTACCTGATTTTTCGGTTTCAGCCATGGTAGAAACAAAAATTTGTATAAACCATTCCAAAGAGTACTGGTACATTGGATCTACGTTGGACAGATCAGCTACGCAAAAAAATAGTATCTGAGCTCTATTTGCTACAGGAATATAAAGCGCCCTAGTGTTGTCAATGTCTATTTGTGTTATTTCGGCAGACTCCACTTTACTCTTAAAAATAAAATAATCATATATATATATATATATATATATATATATATATAATAACATAATATATTCATTGCGGTACTTAAGTATTACAAGTAATAGCAAGTTGATAACAGATAACAAGGACGGCAGTTGCTAGAAAAAAAATTCTTGCCCAATACATTGGATAACGATATTAAACTAATTAAAAGAAAAATTAAAGGATAAAAAATAAGGATTGAACAAAAAATAGAAAAAGTATATAAAAGTATATTATAAATTATATTTTACAGTTACAACAATATAATATTCAATACAATAAATATAAACAAGATAAAGGTAATACTAAAGATAAAAACGATGCTGGAAACAGGACAATTATAAAAATCAACATGAAGACCAAGTATAGAAGTGATGGAGAAAGCTAGAAATAAAATAAATATTCAAGGACGTATTTATAACACCCGTGAACAGACATACAGTACTATGGTCTGTTTTTTAACCAGGAGGAATAATTCAAATTTTCCGCGCTGTAATGCTTGTTTGCAATTGGTCCAACCGCAGGCAAGTTTACTCCACTAAATTATGACATATTGACACTAATGACATTTGTAAAATTTGTTTATTATTATTATTTTCCTCTAATATATAAATCGATTTCTGACTGTTTAAGTTGTTTGTAATAACTTGGACTTGGTGATATGCGAATAGTATTTAATGTGATATTTTTCTAGATGATATTTATACTAAATATAGTTTAAAGTGTTTATAAATTTATAAATGTATGTTATTTATATCCAATTATCATAAGAAAAACCGCAACTTTCTTTTAAATTTAGTATATACTTGTTAAGAAGCATTTCCATTTGGTTTTCATCACAATAAAAGAAAATTAGTAAAGTAATGTTGTGTTTTAATTTGATTGTATGATACAGTTGGTTTTATTCTTCGTGGTTGTAGATCATCACAAAAAAACTGCAAAATTATGCAAGAATGTAACATAATAGATTGGATTTGTTGATTATCTCACAGAAATCCAGTATTTTTTAGTAAATTTTATTTGTTGATAACAAATGGGACAAACTCACTGTCAAAATTAAACAAGAATCCAGCATTAAAGAAATTGTAAGTACACACTTATTTATACAAAGTATCTGGTAAGAAAAAAACTAGATTCAAGAAATTGATCATACCAGAATAAGAATAGGGTCTACTATTAAAAGACAAATTTTTAAGAAAAACCATACTTAGATCTATAACATTATTGCCTCTCCCGATCAAAATATTCTCCGAATTATAATTAAATACCATAGACTTAAAAGATCTATAAAACTGGATCACCCGATATTTAAATATATATACATGGGACCAAACGTGAAAAACGTCCATTTTTATTGTAATATAAACTTGCGTGCATAGAAATCGGCCCACTGTAAACTTTTGATTTTAACTATATTTTTTTCAAGAAATATTCATCAGATAACAAAAACAAATTAGTGTTTGAAAGACAATTTAATATGCTTTAATGTGAGTATAAATTTATGAAAACTTATTTCGGCTTCCTATGTTTAACATAGTGAAATGAATTCATTAAGCAAATTAAGCTTTTTTATTATTAACATCAATAGGGTTATTGACAATTTAAAACTTGACACTTAATTTTTTAATAATGGGTATGACTTCTTCTTCTTCTTCATGTACCATGTCCTTTCAGAACGTTGGTCGCCATCATAGCTATTTTAATTTTATTCACTGCCTAGAGGCTTGCTATTCTAGCAAGAGGTATGACCTCCTCTTGCCCTAATAACATCTCCCATACGATTAGGCATAGTTCTAATCGAGTTTGCTATTGTATTGCTTGTGGGATGTTAAGCCACTCTTCTTCTGCTGCAAGAATAATCTCTGGGATCGAGTCTGGGGTATGAAGTCCACCTCGAATTCTTCGTTTTAGCTCATCCCATAAATGTTCGATCGGATTTAGGTCAGGACTGTTTGCTGGCCAGTCTATAACCTGAAAACCGACTTCTGCAATGTAATCTTGCACGATTCTTGCGGTGTGAGCCCTTGCATTGTCATGCATAAAGATAAATTCGTCTCCAATGTAGTCGACGTAAGGTACCATATGAATTGCTAAAATTCTCTCGATATATCTGGCAGCCGTTAAACCTCTTCTTCCGTGAATACGGTCGTCCCTACGAATGAACTCAAGATCGGTTCGTGCTCCTATAAAAATTGCACCCCAGATCATGCAGGAACCACCCCCACAAGCACTCCGCTCTTCAAAGCAGCATTCTGCAAATCCCTCTCTTGGTCTCCGGTACACTTTCCTCCTTCGGTCGCTACCATAGAGATATATTTTGGTCTCATCTGAGAACAGAACAGATCCCCATTGTTCCAACGTCCAATTCCGATGATCCTGTGCAAAACGCAAGCATGCTTGCCGATGAGCTGGAGTAAGTTTTGGACTAATCTCAGGTGTTTTAGGGGTCAGGTTATTTTCCTGCAGTCTTCGTCTCACTGTCCACTGACTATCTTCGCACCTCACGGAGCTGTCGTTGCACCTGAACGGCATTAAGGTGACGATTTCTTAATGTTGTTGACACAATAAAGCGGTCATCACGAGCGGTTGTAAATCGCCGTCTGCCTGTTCCAGGTCGCCTATGAAAGGATCCAGTCTCCTCATAACGTTGGCACACGCTGCGCGTGTCATATCCAATTGTCTAGCAACAGCTCGCTGACTAAGTCCATTTTCGATTAGAGCAATAACTTGGGCGGCTTTTTGTGGCGTAGTATGCATTAAACTAACAAACTGCTAAGATTATAAAAAACGAATAATATGCAAATTTCACTTGCAAAGGCAATACTTTTACAACTAGACAAATTTGTTATTTTCGTGACAATCACCACATAAACACGTTTCATTTGTTTACCGGTTACTATGCATGTAAACGATAAGCCTTCTTGATAAATTTATACTCACATTAAAGCATATTAAATTGTCTTTCAAACAGTATATTTGTTTTTGTGATCTGATGAATATTTCTTGAAAAAAATATAGTTAAAGTCAAAAGTTTACAGTGGGCCGATTTCTATGCACGCAAGTGTATATTGGAAGTGAATTGAAAAAAATTATTTTATTATTAAAACATAAATAAACGAAGTAGGTTAAAATTGACGTGTGAGGTTGTCCAATATTAATAACTCGATTACCGCAAGGCCGAGATAATCAACAAAAAAAAAGAAGATGTATTTGGTGATTTTTCTAGTAACTTTCTTGAGTGTGAATCTGCCTTTTTGGTTTACTCCTCCTGGTTAAAAAACAGAGTATAGTCAAAAGTTCGTTCCCCCCTCGATTCTTTAAACGGTTATACCTATAATAGTGAAATTTGAAGGAGGTAAGGAGGAGAGGTAATAAAAGAGCGTAAGTTTGGTAACTAGTCATAACAAGTGACGTAATGGTGACAGATGACGTTACAATGTCACTGTGATAGATAATTTTAAATATTGCCTTATGTGATACCTCGTTTGATAGGTATTGAAAATACCTATTCAACCATACTAATTTTATTTGAATTTAATTTCATTTTGATGAATCAATTAAATAAATACTAAAATTATAGTTTTACATTTAATTAATAAATACTAAAACCTCTGCCTTTGGTTACTTGTCAAAAAGTTGCGTTTTTCAATTCTCTAATTATTTTTACATCAATGTCAACTTTTTTGACAATGAACTAGAGGTGCACGTTAGAATATACATTAATTGAATGCGAAAATATTATTATTTTAATATACCTCAATCATACTAATATTGTTTGGATTTAAGATTATTTTGACGAATAAATTAAATAAATACGAAAATTCTAGTTTGACATTTAATTAATAAAAATTTGTCAATTCTCTAGTTGTTTTTAGTTTGCAAAATCGTTTTTTACAGCTTAATATTTAGTTTCTGTTACTGCTTAGTTTAGTCATTTCTATCCTTTTTGTAAACTGCTCCCACTGTTCATTTTTTGTTCTTACCAACAACTGCTTTGTTTCATTTCGTATTTTTTTATAGTTATCTCGAGATTCTAGGATATTTGTTGTTTTGTACTTTGTGTAGGCCTCTCTTTTCTATTTACATTTCTCTTTTATTGCTTTTCTGAACCATGGTGTATTGTTGTTGTTTATTTTGTTCAGTATGACTTTCCGTTTTCCTAGACCTTTGGTTGCTGCTTCTTCAATGTTGTTTTTAATTTTCTCCCAGCTCGCGTTTATATCTTCGATGTCGTCTATTTGTTTCAGCTGTATCTTCTGTGCTAGCCCCTTTTGGTATCTTTCTCTCGTATACTCATTTTACAGTGATTCTACATTGATTCTAGATTGAATTTTTTCTCGATGATTTTCTGTAGAAAATTTTGTTTTGGTGTTATTTTCATTCTTATCTTTGCTAGTACTAGTTTGTGCTTGTAAATCAATCATAGATTTATGCTCCCTGGAGTTTTCAAATATATATTTATACTGAAGCTTATGGTCGAAAAATGTATTATTGATTCTGAGTTCGTTAAAAGCATACAGATTAGCCATGAGTTCTCCATTTGCTTTGACATGGTTCTCATTAAATCTGTGTTTAATTCCTGGAAATATTTCATTTCCGATTCGTGCATTAAAGTCACCCATTAGTATTAACGGCTCTTTATAAGGTATTTCATCCAGGATGGTTTGCAATTGTTTATAGAATGTCTCTCGTTCCTCCTTAGATTTGCAGTCCTCGGGGCTATAGATAGATATGACATTTAATTTTTGGTAGTCCATTGTGATGTTCATATGTATTATTCTTTCGGAGATACAACGGCAGTTATTTGTGTTGTTTTTAAATTTTTTATGGACAAGTATACCTACGCCTGCTCGTGCTTGTTCTTCTTTCTTCACTCCACTGTATCATAGGAAATATTGGTTATAGTCTCTTTGGCCTTTACCTTTCTTCTTGGTTTCTTGGATTGCACAAATGTTTTTTTTTTATTTATCAGTTCTTCTATTATCTCTTAGTCTCTGTTGTTGAAAGTGGTAATGTTCCACGTTGCTTATCTGATTGTGGACTTATTTTGTCCTTCTCATTTTCCTTTTCTTTGCGTGGTTCGTCATCTTAGGATCCGTCTGGTTCCGAGGCTTTATATCGGTTCTTTGAGCCTTGTTTCCTTTTACAAAGGGTAGGATGCTAACCTGGCCAATCAACCCTCCTCTTTTATCCGGGCTTGGGACCGCTGTGGGCATGAACGCGACTCAATCCACCCAATCATCGCACTCATAACCCCCAGGCAGAGTTATTTTTAAATTTATTTTTATTTAATTTATTCATCAAAATTAGCTTAAACTCAAACAAATTTATTATAACTAAATAGGTATTTTTAATACCTTTCAAACTAGGTATCACTTGCCATAATCTTCTATTTAAAATTATCTGTCACAGTGGCGCTGTAACGTCTTCTGTCACTATTACATCCCCTCTTATGACTAGTTGAGAAGCTTACGTCTGTTTGTTACCTCCCTCCAAATTTCACTATTATGACAACAACCGTTCAAAAAATACGAGGGGAGGAACGAACTTTTGACTAGCACTATTACAAACATATACCAACAAACACGAATAATACAGCCAATACCTACATGAGTCACAGTTTATACAATTACTACGAAAATAACATACTGAAGTCTGTATTACCTTAATATCTTCACTCTTTACTTTGGAAGCTTCCAGAGTTATAATAAAATCAAGATCTTCAATTGGAGAAAGCTCTGATGAACTTAATTTGTAAAGAATTCTATCCTGAATTTCCTTTAGCTCATGTTTCATCGTTGCTATACTAACGACAATTTGACTTCTCTGCTCTTCCAAATCTGGTCGTTCTTGCATAACTACTAAAGCCAACAGTTGGTCCTGCAAGCCACTAAAAAGACAATAAAAGTTTTAGATAATTGATAAATTGTGTTAACCCATTCATGCCCAGAAATATTTATGCTTATTTTTTTTTATTTCTGAAACATTTATGCTCTAAATGTCACAATTAACAAAAAAATATGTTTAAAAAATAAAAACTTTTTTAATAATTGGAGTTGCGAAAACGTAACACTATGTAGTTAGGATGTAAAAAAAATAAATTTTTGTATGCTTGTTCCATTAAATCCAATATGTCATCTGTCATCCAAGCCTGCTTTTTTAGCTTTGACCTGCCTTGTCGGTACCGGCAAACATTTCTTTCCACTGCTTCCAATAATATTCTCCACATGACAAAATGACTTCCACTTTTTTATTGCTTTGGATGACGTCCACTTAAAATTTAATCTGTTCAAACTACTTATTATAGTTCAACAATTTTCAATTAAAGGTGACTAATCTACAAATTGAACTAAACGGTAGTGGCAACCATGTAAAATTTCATTAGTAAATTCTAAAATTACCGGGGTCATTTTTATTGTGTATGCTTCGCCCATGTAAGTATGTAAATTTGTAACCCATGTAAGATAAATTTGCCCCCGTAACAATATAAATTGGTGCGATTCACGAGTGTATAGTGAGACAAGTTCAACGAATAGTTTGAAACATCGATAAACTTATCAATATTTTGCTGGTCTATATATATTTACAATTTACGTTCTTAGAAAGAATGTTAATGAGAGAAATATGATATCTTGTTTATTCCTTCCAGATTATAAACATTTGTGCATAAGCGTAGTGTGTTATCGGGAATATATTTATTAAATAAACTTTATTATTAACTTTAAAATAGTTTTAAGGTAAGTAAAGTAAATTTGAGGCCAGTTTATTCTTTATATAGTATTAAACCCTTAACGGCCGCTCAATATACAAAGAGAAATTTGACAATTAATTTATTAGATTCGATTAAAAACACATAAATTAGGACTGATTTATCATTAAAACAAATTTTTTTCTCATTTTCAAGGAAAACAGTACAATTTTTAATAAATGAACATATTGTATCTTAAACGTAAATTAAATTTTAAGGTGAAAATTTTCGAAACATTCGGGGTGTAGATGCATTCTACACTTTTTACATACATAAATAGTATTACTTTTGTACATCCTACATTTTTGCACTATCGTCTCTTTTTGTAATGTGGCCAATATTGTCGAATCTGGTTTCATCTGGTAAAGCAAATTTAGATTGACGTCCATGTACTAAGTGACACTGATGTAGCGGTTTCTTTACTATTATAAATTAAAATTATAAATCTATATCGGCTCATACTTTCTCTTATAATATGCACTTCTTTATCTTCATCCTTTGATCAATGCATATCAACTTGAAGCGAAGTGTAAGCTAGATAATATACATATGCTAATAATTTTATTTAAATCTATGTTATTCATTTCAAAATTGTGACGATTATTCTCAATTATTTTTTATCAAAAAGAGTGAAAAAACTTCAATAGATGACTTGCCTCCACGGTTGGCTTTTATATTGTCTAAATATCAATCAGACTGATGTTGAATTACTACTGAGCACGAATGAATATCCGTTATTACATCTAGAGATAAATTTGGATTTACTATTTTTGCCTGGTTTTTTCTTTGGACATTTTATCTGTGGTTCAGAGGAATATCATAATCAGAATCGTCAGAATTCAAAATCACTTGTATTTCATATGTACCTGCAATATCCGATGTTATTGATTCTTCACTAATAATATTATCATCAATGTCTTCAAGGAATACAATAATATACCAGCAAACGAATGGGAAAGATACCCGACGGAACTGTTTAAAGCAAAGGAAAATAATAATCAACACAATAACGTATCTAAATTAAGACACCAAATAGAAATCAGTTTTCAGGAAGTAGAAATAGTCATAAATTCACTCAAAAATAGAAAGTCATTAGGACCAGACGGAATAACCAACGAGCTTCTAAAATACGAAAGTGATATAACCCTAGAGATGACAAAACTTATACAAAAACCAATATTGCACTGCAAGATACCAGACGCATGGAGAAACAACATAATGATACCAATGTTCAAGAAAGGAGATAAAGAAGAACCCAACAATTATAGAGGTATAAATCTACTGAACACCGCACTTAAGCTTACCACAAAAGTCGTAACCAATAAAATCAATAAACTAACTTTATCAGATGAACAACGATGATCCTGCGTAGATGCCGTTTTGTACTAAGACAAATCACAGAAAAGGCCATCAAGTACAATAAACCAGCATATATATGTTTTATAGACCTGACAAAGACTTTCAATCGCATCCAAGTCAAAGACGTCTTACACCTACTGTATAAAAGAAACATACCAATTATACAAACCATCGAAAGCATCTACCTCCATAATCGAATACAGGCAAAGATAAATGAAAAACTAACACAGTGTATACCAGCACAAAGCAGAGTCAGACAGGGAGACTCGTTAAGCCCACTTCTTTTTTATATAATAATGGACGAAATAATACAAGCAGTACGTAAAGGTCATGGCTGCAGAATGGGGAATAAAGAAATCCAAATATTATGTTATGCAGACGACGCCGCATTAATCGCCGAGACAAAGGACGAGCTCTAAAGATTAACACATATCTTCAATACAACAGCTAAGAAATACTATGATACAACAGCTATTATGATAATATCAGCAGAAAAGTACAAATATATGACAACATCTAAATACCCACTACGGTGTAAAATCGAAATGGATGAGAAATAAAGCCGGAAACAAGGTTTAGATATCTGGGAATAGATATAAAACTAGTTACGGAGATGTTGAAGAAGAAGTACGACAGCAAAGGTTAAAAGCAAGTAAAGCGGCGGGTTCTCTTAATGACATAATCTGAAAGAACAAACACCTAAGACAAGACACAAAAACAAGAGTCTACAAAGCAGCAATTAGACATATATTAACATACACGGCGTGATAGGGAGAGAAGCAAAAACATAAGAAGATCATGTAATATAGAAGACATAAATGGATGGGTGACAAAACGAAAACAGGAATGGAACGAACACATCAGTAGAATGGCAGAGGATAGAATAGTACGAATAGCACGAGATAAGTCACCAAATGGACGAAGAAGTATTGGCAGACCAAGAAAAATATGGATAATTCAAACAAGTTAGGAGGCTAATACTGAAGAAGAAACAGGCTTTACAGCCTACATACTAGAAGGAAGAAGAAGAAGAAGCTCAATGTGTTCTACATCAGAAACTTTTTAATCCAATCTCGGCGGCAAATACACCACATTAAGTGAATCGGCATTTTTACAATCTGAGTCTTCTTCTAACAAAGCTATTAATTCTTTAGTAGTTAGTGCCATCTTCATTTCATATTTCGAGAATTTACTGAAATAAACAAATGCACTACTATATAAATGCATTCACCTAATAATAGTTTAGCTTACTTCATTGTAAATTTATAGGAACTTTCTAATACATTTTCATATTTATATAAACAAATAAACACAAGGAAACTTTCAAATTAAGTTAAAAAAATCAAATATAACGTTTACAGCACACAGCAATTCTATAAATAAAGAAAGATGTGTAATTAAAATTGCAGACTGTTTTTAGTCTAATGAAAAAAAAATAAGTATTTTTCAAAGTTTTCTGTTTTTTGAAGTTCTGTATTAGAGACTCTCTAATAAGAATAAAATTTTACTTTACTTTGTTAGATAACTATAAGATACCTGTGAAAAGAGACATGATAATTTAATAATTAAATCGGTTTTAGATTTAATTTTTACGTAATTACTTGTGTTTAAATAAATAATTAAATTTTTTTTTGGTACGCCTCTGCAAAATTGATAATTTCAATACGATTTCGTTAAAAAGTTATCGTTAAGGACTTCGTTATGTACGATGTTGCCAAGTAATCACCTTCAATTAAAAATTGTTTTAGTATAATCAGTTGGACTTAATGGAAATTACGATTTTAGTTGCGTAAATAAAAAATTGAAACCGTATTAGTTACCACAAAACTAAAGTGCTGCTATTAGGAGGTATTGAGATGTTTATTTAAAACTCTGTTCGAATAAATAATTGCAACACTCAAAGTTTGTTTTCCCAGATCGAATTTTTGAAAATTTTAAAAATTTTTAAAATTTTAAAGTTTTTATAAAAGCCAAAATTTTCGGATCGTTAGAGTATAAGAATATAATATGAATTAATTTAAACCAAAGGCAAAATAGAATAAAAACTAAAAATAAACTTACGTTGATACTACCGTAAAATTCACGAGCAGTACTTTAATAGAAATTTCTGGAGTATAATGTGGATTTGGCAATTTAGTTGTAATATACAATCTGAAATTTTCATCGTACGGCACTATAACGTCGCCCAATTTGATAACCAAAGTACCGTTTTGCATAAATACTTGATGGAGTAGAACTGGATCTAAGGCAGGGTCTAGCTCTATGCCGACGTTTTCTATGAGTACTGCTTTTCCAAAACGAATAGATGATTCCATTGTTCTCATTAAATCTCTATCAGCAAGCTTGCATACGGACAGTCCCATATTTTTACACTAAAACAAGTATTTTAATAAAGCTGATATTTTCTTACTAACAATTTCATTAAAAGACATTTTTAATTAATTTTTAAACAAAAGTTTAAAAAGTTTGAAAAAAAAACTACAAATTATGTATCATGTCTCATGTACTCATGTCTACATCTACATCCATGTACCTTGGTGGCTACATTCATGTACTCATGTCTACATCTACATTCATGTACCTTGGTGGCTACATTCATGTACTCCTAGACACTGATGATGGAACATGGATTCCGAAAACGTTATGTCTTTTTAACTTAGCCCGTTTGGGCCTTAAATATATACCTTTTACAAAGGATTTTTAATTAAACTTTATAAAAGTCAACTAAAGATACAAAGCACCTCTAAATAGCTAGAAAAATTATGGGTAGTGGTTAACCAGGGTTCAGAACACATACCAGGGATTACCAAGGATGAAATAAAATATGCGCATCAAAAAGATGAAAATTGGTAAAGCACCCGAAGAAGATGGTATACTAGTGGTTATTGAAGTTCTCCTCACAAAATTCAAAGACTATTTGACTTATGTCTATAATGACAGTATAATTCCAAACCATTTTCAAGCCTTCTCTCCTATATTTATAAACTTTTTACTAAATATTCACATATAAACTACAAAATAAACTGAACCTCTATCAATCAATAGCATAAGCCAGTTTCCGCTTAGTATTCGGTACTAATAATCATCTTATAGCGCTAAAAACCTTAATAATAAAAAAATAGAGTTGCAGACGGCTGCATAGAATACAACCGTGTGTAACTCCAAGATAAAACTAAAGAGTTTCCATGGGGGAGAGCTTTGAGACAAGGAGACACGATGTCACCAAAGATATTTACAGCAGTTCTGGAGTATTCTTTCTAGAAACTCAATTGCTACTTATTTCTTTTTCTTTTCTATCGTCTATTTTTGGACATAGGTCTCTCCTAACTCCTACCATCGATCTCTTCCCTGATGTTCTCCACCCATCTCATCTGTGGTCTTCCTCTTGATTGTCTAATTTTGTAAGGTCTGTAATTTTTGCTGCTTATTCTTGATGATCACAGTTCCCATACCAAAAGTTTAGAACTCCTTCATCTTGCTCGGAAAAATAACGTTATATTATTATGTTTTTCACCACACACCACACATCGATTACAACGCCTCGATGTCTCATTTATGGCACCACTTAGTACATCTTATGCACAAAAAGTTAAAACATGGTTGCTTAATTACCCTGGCAGGGGTGTTACAATTTATCAAATTGGACAACTAGTCAACGCTGCTTTGTCAAGAGCAGCTAATGTTCAAACCGTAGTGAAGGGATTTGAAAAAACAGGAATATATCCTTTCAATAGAGATGTATTCCCTGATTACCTGTTTGCCCCGTCAGATACCACACAATAACCCAACCACAATTCTGAGCAGCATATATCATGCGCCACTACTACCAACATCACAAACAAGAGAACAGAACATTCCACTTTTTTAAGTGAAACTGTGTGTTTTAACGACGTTTCTCCTAAGCCTTATAAAGAAACTTTTGCTGAGCCTTATAAAGAAACTTCTCCTGAGCCCTCTACTTTAACAGGTGGGTCTACGTCACCCAAATCAGCCTTTCACCAAAAATTTTGATGCCTCCACCCCAAGCAAAGGAGTGTGTAAAAAGAACCAGTAACAAGGGGAAAAGTACAACTGTCATATTAACATCGTCGCCATACAAGGCTGAACTAGATGCAGAAGAACAAGAGCGACAAGAGAAACAAGAAGGTAAACACAAAAAAGAACTTTTCAACAAAAATAAAAAATCTGCGACTCTCAGTGCAAATCTATCAAAGAAAAGAAAGACTAGAAAATCAGTCCTGCTCATCGAGCAAAAAGACAAAAGAGGGAATGTAAAGGTAGTGGGGACAAAAATATTGTTAGATAGAAAGTGCGACCTTGAGAGGCCACTTTAAACAAGGAACGACAGTCTCTTTCCTTGTTTAAGAAATCAAATTTAGTTTGGTTACGTTATTGTTTGTCCCAACTGTCACATGAAATTTTATTTATATTAAAGTTTTTTACCATTTGTGTCACCTCTTAGATAATTAAAATATTTTTTCGGAATATTATTAGTATTACGTATGAGATTGTCAAGATATACTTTTGGTACAAAAATTCACTTCCGGTTTTGAGATGAACGGAAGTTAAAATTTACTTTAAGTTTTAGACCCCACAATGTATAAATGGATCGAAAGGTCTCGTCGAGACGAATCTAAATATGTACTTCCGGTTGCGATCCGATACCGGAAGTGGCCCGAAACGCGCATAAAACGTCAAGATAGAGCAAATTTGACACCGGATTCGTGATCAGCATACAAAATTAACTGCTAAATGATATCCATTTCGACATTTGATGAACTAAAAATTGCATTCCGGTTTTGAAGTCGACTTCCGGTTTCGTTGTTATTAAAAAGGAAAAAGTAAGAGTTTACATAACTCCCGGTGCCGAGCAAAAGTTTTTAGAAAATGGAGACATTGTAACAAAAAACATTGTTTTCGACGAAATATTTCGTGATATTTAATACACTTTTTACTTGTATTATTTTGGATGAATGTTATGTATATTCTTGCTTATATTGTTTGTATTGATCTCTCAATTTTTCTCGCAAAATAAAAATTTCATTTAAAAAACTCGATGTCGAGTTGGTCCGCTAGTTTTAGACTATTATCGTTAATATTTAATTAAAACTTTCTCGTCTGAAAAATATTTTATAGCTATTGTTAATAAGTGTCGAAAATTTTAAATTTAGCGCCTTTGCATTTCCGGATATATCCGCCATCAGAGGCCACTTTTTTGGTCTCCTTTTCATAACGATTACATTCCCAATTTACAAAACAATGGTTTGTCTATTAAAAAAAGCGTAAAAATAAAAAGTATCAGGCTGAAGATTCTGATGTGTCATCTGATGAAGACCAGGAAGAAGAAAACGAAGAATCTTGCATTGTTTGCAACGAGATGTACAAAAACTCTTTCGATCAGGAAGGTTGGATTTGGTAATGCAAATGTGGTGGCTGGACACATGAAGCTTGTTCAAGCTGTGAAGATGATGATGACATTTTTATATGCAATTTTTGTTTATAGTTTGATTTTAATTTTTTATTACTGTTCATACTATCATACGAAACCTACTGTATAATCATGTTCAATAGCTCATTACATGTTTAAAGTAATTACTATTTAAATGGAAATAAGCCACAAATTAAGGTTAAAGTACATGTATTGACGTTTCAATTTCCACTTCTAAAATTGTTCTCAAAATACAACACTTTTTTGTTAATTGCCGTATTGCCAGATTCCAGTAAGAGCCTAAGAAGGTATCCATTAAATTCTGACAGGCAACGGTAGGAGAAATCTTTTTTGGACATCTACGTCACGGAACAAGACACTCTGCCATCTTTCGGCCGAATAGGATACTAAGCCAGAAGACCCCAGAGTAGTGTCGGATTAACCGTGCTCCGGCTAAAACCTTAACCACAGTTCCAGAGAAGTGGTCCTGCCTTTTAATATATATGATAACGGATTGATTACGGCTGTCGCCGCTTCTCCGCCCCCAATTTCCATCTTCTTCTGTCATACGCAGTTGCCTCTTCTAAGCCTCTTGCCGCCATTGCTTCATCAATATCGTTGCGCCAACTTCTCCGTCGTCGTCCTCTCTTCTTTCAGGAGGGATCCATTCCAGTATTATTTTAGGCCATCTGTACTCTGGCATTCTTTTAACATGTCCGAACCAGATTAATTGTTTTCTTTCTATGTCATCATTGATATTTCGCTCCATCTTCATTTCGTTTTTTATTTGTTCGTTCCTAACTCTTTCTAGTTTCGATCTACCGCAACTTCGTCTCAGATAATCCATTTCTGTCGTCATAAGTTTGTTTTTATTAGCTTTGGTGACGTCCCATACTTCCGAACCGTAAAGTGTAATACTTTGGACTATACTACCGTAAATGTGTTTTTTGGTTTCTCGTCGAATTGTTTTTTGCCAGAGAAGAGAGTTTAAGGCACGGGTCGCTGCTCTACCCTTGTTTATTCTTTCCCTGATTTCATCTGCGCTATTTCCCTTCTTATTGAAAATGACCTCCAAATATTTGCAGGATTGTACGCCTTTGATTTTGCCACCTTCCAAGACTAGGTCACATATTTCATCTGTTCCCACTGATAGATATTCACATTTTGTCATATTTATGTTTAGACCTGCCACCTCATATTCTTCTTGCAGTTTTCTTACCATATAGCTAAGATCGTAGCTATCTTCGGCAATTACTACCTGGTCATCCGCAAAGAAAAGTGTATATAGCGTGTTTTCTTCCACCGTTATTCCCATGTTTCTACATTTTTTTACCCATTTCACTAAGGATCTGTCCAAATAGATTTTAAATAAGGTGTGTGACAGACAGCAGCCTTGTCTTAGTCCCTTTGTTGTTTTGAAAGGAGAGGTGATTTCTTGTCCCATTTTAATTCTTGCAAAGTTTTGTTCATAGTATTTTTGAGTGGCGTTAATAAGAATTGGGTTTATTTTCAAGTTATCCATTTCTATCCATAGTTGGGAGATCGGTACACTATCATATGCTTTTTCCAGGTCTATTAAAACTATATGGGTTTCTCTATTTCTCTGCATTCGTTTTTTCATTGCAATTTTTAATGTGAAAATATTATCCATAAATAATAATAATATCCTGCCACTTAATAAACAACTAAAAAAAACTAAAAATTTATAAATAACCATAACTAATACCGTAAATCAGAAAATGTTTAGATGTTAGACCATAAACTAATAAATAATATTAACTATAAATTTTTAGATCCCTGGCTTAATTTCCTCCTCTGTCCTCCTGCTCCTTTTCCTTCATCACCCCAGAAATCGGACAGTGTACTTCTCCCCATGCTTTCTCTTCTCTCAACATTATGTTTACAATGTTTCTTTCATCCAGCCCGAAACCCATTCATCTCTCA